GTGTGTGTGTGTGTGTGTGCGTGTGAGTGTGTGAGTGTGAGTGTGTGTGTGTTTTGACACTAAGGCCTCTCAGGTTCCACCTCCATCATTTGTCAGGTTCTAGTTCAGTATCTTACCTGGAATCGCTGTGATACCTGTAACACACCTGACCTCTCACTGACATACAGGAGCTGAAGGAAACAGCAGTAGATCAGGGACTTCATGGGGAATTCAAGTTCAGGAACGTCTTGAGAAAACAAAAAAAACAAACGAGTTTCATTTGACAGTAACAATAGAAAAGGAAAATCACAAATATGGTCTATATTTAATATCTTGATAGTTTCTACTAGACAGCAGTGAAGTCCAATAGAAAGCAAATAAGACTCTTGCTTTTGTCTTTTGCTTTTCAGATTTGATCTCTCAGAGTTTCAGAAGATATCCGAACAATATCTCAAACTGTGCTTGGATTTGCCAAGATATGTGATCATGTCAGAGATCTCAATATGAACTTTGTCATTAAATTCTTCCAAGAGATGAAAAGTTAAATCATCTGAGCTGCTATCCACAGTCATTTTACATGTGACCTATTGTTTAATTTGTGTATGTTGTTTAATTTGAAGGAATTTTAAGAAAAACATGAGACAAAGCTAAAACTTAAATGAAATATTATTCAGAACGCAGCTATAAAAAAGCAATAAAATTGTATATGTTATGAAATGTTTCATTTTCTATATATTATATACACCCACAGTGCTGGACACCTTTTTAGTTTTATTGGGTTGGGTAAGTATGTATATTTACTTAATCTATATTTATATGTGTGTGTGTAGTTCACAAAGGCAACAACAATAATAATAATAAATTATTATTATTATTATTGTTTTATATTAAATAGTAGCTGTGTAGTGTATTTTTATAACTTGAGCAATAAACATGTGTATATGCATGTTATGAAATTTCAAAACTCATATTTTAACTAACTTTAATATTATTTTTTGTCTTTTGCAGTGTTCAGTACTTTTTTTTACTTTAAGTATTTTATAATATGTTAATTTTGTATATCTATTATTATTATTATTTGATAATGTGAGCAATACATTTGTACAGAAGCATGTTATGAAATTTCACCAAGTCATATTTGTGACTAACTTTTTTTTTTTTCTTACACTCACAGTGCTGAATACCTTTTTAGTTTGATTAAGTATACATTTTTATTTATTTATTTATTTTTATATTTTATTATTATTGTTGTTGTTTTTTGGTCTTGAAAAAGACCTTAAAAGCTACTGTTAATTAAATTTTAATTCAACATTCCCACAAGCTATTTCGTGCTTCCATTCTGTTCTGAAGAAGAGTATATTTATATTTAGAAGCCACCTAATGGTAGAATTCAAAAATGGCAGCCGTGGGCATGTTTGTTTTAACATTTCAAGAATCACCAGTTTCCTTCGAGCTGTTTATCAGATTGTCCAGGAGCAGGTGAACCAGTCTGATGACATAATATCATTACCATTTTTTCTTGTCTGTAAATACTTGTCATCTGGATCTTCCGTCTCATTTGAGAAACACCACAGTGAAGGAGAGCTGCGTTACATCTGTGTCTGATCCTTCGTCCTTTTGTCCTGGCACTCGACCATCATGTCTTACACGGCCGGGTCTTACATGGCCAAACCCTACGCGGACAAATCCTATGGGGGCAGCGTGTACACGGGATATCCGGATGAGAAATCTGCGAAAGACGTGTACGAGGAGCAGCTGAAGCGCGAGAAGAGAAAGAGACGGGAATCTATCTGCTGTGAGGTGGTTGCGCTGATCATCGGCTTCTTCGGACTGATCGGCGTCGCCTCCGTCACAGGCCTCCCGATGTGGAAGGTCACCGCGTTCATCGAGGAGAACATCATCGTGATGGAGACGCGTTGGGAGGGATTGTGGATGAACTGCTACCGGCAAGCCAACATCCGTATGCAGTGCAAAGTCTACGATTCTCTGCTGTTCCTTCCGGCCGACCTCCAGGCCGCCAGGGGTCTCATGTGCTCCTCCGTCGCTTTGACCACCTTCGCCTGCATCTTGTCGGCCGTAGGCATGCGCTGCACCCGTCTGGTAGACTCCCGTCCTAGAACCAAGCACATTGTTTTGGTGAGCGGAGGGTGTTTGTTTTTGGCTGGCTGCTTGACCACCATCATTCCTGTGTCGTGGACGGCTCATGTGATCATCCAGGACTTCTACAACCCGTTGTTAATCGATGCCCAACGTAGAGAGCTCGGAGAGGCGTTGTACATCGGATGGGTCACTTCAGCTATGCTCTTTAGTGCTGGGGTGATTCTGCTTTGTCGACATGCACCACGGACCCAGGACAAAGAAGACTTGGCTGCTGTTTTGTATCGGGCCAGATCGGCCCCATATAACTACTCCTACAGGCCTGGATATGGATACCAGCCTGCGTATGGATATCAGCCTGCGAATAACTATCAGCCAGCCTATTCTCCTGTCCAGTCAGTTTATAACCCTCCAAGATACTGAGGCACACAGTGAGTGCTGTGCTTTACCACTGATATAGAGACTCCAATAAAAAAGTTGAGTTGGGAGTGATCTGCATCAAGATTCAGAAGAAAGAAGGACTGATGGTGCCTCAGTTGATTATATGTGACTGTATATGTGAATATTAGTTTTTACATGCTTGATTTGAATGCATTTCCTCATTTCAAAAGACTTATTTGTTTTGGATATTTCCACGCAGCATTTAACTGTGGATCCGTGACTTAATGTTGGCTCTGTGATATGATTGTGTTTGTTTTCCACTTTGTCCATTTTTAAAGCACTGGTTTGACTTTAATTGTATTAAATAAATGTGTAAAAAGAACTGTGGCTGTACTAGCTCCTGGTCTGTAGTCTTAAAATAGTCCCTTCCTGGATTCGACAACATCATTTTGTTGTTTTTTAGCTCAGTGTCTGCGACACTGGTCGAACCAGTTGAGGTGGTTTTTCAGTGTATGGTTCTCTTCTGTTGCTCCACAACCTTAAAACGTCACACCCCTAATGCAAATTTACCAGCAGACATGAGCGACAATGACTGTGTGTTTGTGTGACCAAAAGAGATGTGTGTATATGTGATCTAAGATAATGTAAGATGTAACTGGAAAAACTGTCAATGCAGCAAAACAATATTAAGAACCAAATTCTCATCTCATCATGAAATTGAACTAAATACCAAAAGTTTATGGTTACTATGAGCCATCTTATAGAGAACAGAAAATTGATTTTTACACTGTCTGAAGAAAATGTGAGCAGTGCTTAATAGTACAAAGGTTGCTAGGTTGTTGCTATATAGTTGCTAAGACGTTTTGAGTGGTTTTTATCATGTTGCTATGTGCTTGCTAGGATGTTCTGCATAGGAACTGAATAGCAAGATGCTAAAAACTCAGCATTAAATGAAATAGCAAAAATACATATAGGTTGCTAAGATGCTGCTATGCAGATGCTAAGGTGTTCTGAGTGGTTGCTATGAAGTTGTTAAGACCCTAGAAACCTCATAGCAACATGTTAAAAGCCACTCTGAACACATTAGCAGCTGCATAGCAACACCCTAGCAATCACATAGTAACATTCTAAAAAAAAAAAAAAATAGAACCCCTTAACAGATGCAGAGCAACATTCTAAAAACTTATAAGAACCCTTTAGCAGCTGCAGAGCAACACCTTAGCAACCACATAGTAACATTCTAAAAAAAATTAGAACACCTTAGCAGATGCAGAGCAACATTCTAAAAACTAATCAGAACTTCTTATCAGTTGCATAGCAACCACACAGTAACATTCTATAAACCACTCACAACCCCTTAGCAGCTGCATAGCAACACCCTAGCAACCGCATAGTAACATTCTATAAACCACTCACGGCCCCTTAGCAGATGCATAGCAACCATACAGCAACATGCTAAAAGACACTCGGCATTAAATGGAACTACAAAAATGCTTTACTGTACAAAGGCTGCTAGGGTGTTGCTATGCAGCTGCTAAGGGGTTCTAAGTGGTTTATAGGATGTTACTATGCGGTTACTAGGGTGTTGCTATGTAGCTGCTAAGCGGTTCTGAGTAGTTTTTAGAATGTTGCTATGCAGCTGCCAAGGGATTGTGAGTGGTTTATAGAATGTTACTATGCGGTTGCTAGGGTGATGCTATGCAGCTTCTAAGAGGATCTGTGTGGTTTTTAGAATGTCACTGTGTGTCGGTTAAGGGGTTCTAAATGTTTTTTTAAGAGGTTATTGTGCAATTGCTTATGTTCTGAGTGGTACTTAGCATGTCGCTATGTGGTTGCTTTCTGTGGTTCCCATAGAAAACCACATAGCTACATGCAAACAACCACTCAGCATCAAACGGAATTGTAAAAAAATCACAAAATTCTGTTTGATGTCTCTAGCGGTGCAGAAATGACACGCTTTACCTTTAACTAAATGTAAAACATCAACGTTAAGCCATCAGCTGACTTCACAAATGTTCTTCTGAACATATCAGACAGCAATTTAATGAGCCGCAACACCAGTAGTGTTAAACATTGACAGCAGTCCAGAGTTGTGGTGTGTTTGCTTGTATCAGTAACCCCTTCAGCTGCATTTCCTCACTTAACAGGATCTCCGCCAGAAAACGAAGCCTGCTGAGCAAATATCAACACGGCTACGAGCTCCTCCTCCTCCCCCAGTAACACAAAACCAGACACAAACACTCGCAGGGGGGGTTTGATTTCATAGCAACCAGCCCTGGCCCTCCCTCTCCTGAGCAAGAGGGCGGAGGCTGGGAACAGGTGAACACCTATCAGCTCCCATTCCAGCGGGATGCAAAACCTCAAAGTCAAAACCAGTCCTCACTCTTCAGGCTTCTGGAATCATGGCAAATGGCGCCCTGGAGATCGTGGGAATGTGCGTGAGCCTGATCGGCCTCATCGGGGTGGCGGCCAGCACTGGGATGCCGATGTGGCGGGTGACGGCATTCATCGGGGAGAACATCATTGTGATGGAGACCCGGTACGAGGGCTTGTGGATGAACTGCTTCCGGCAGGCCAACATTCGGATGCAGTGTAAGGTGTACGACTCCTTGCTGGCACTGTCCCCGGACCTCCAGGCCGCCCGGGGGCTCATGTGCTGCTCCGTGGCGTTGACCGGGCTGGGTCTACTAATTTCCATCGCTGGGATGAAGTGCACGGCATGCATCCAAGGAAACGACCGCGCCAAGCGGATGGTTCTAATCATCGCTGGCTGCATGATCCTACTGGGCTGCTTCTGTTGCCTCATCCCTGTCTCCTGGACTGGACATGCCATCATCCAGGACTTCTACAACCCTTTGCTCATCGATGCCCAGCGTAGAGAACTCGGGGAGGCATTGTACATCGGTTGGGTGTCTTCTGCCTTCTTATTTGCTGGCGGGTGCATATTCACCTGCTGTGGCGGCTCCCTGGACAAGGGCCCAGATCCGAGGTACAAGTACACCAGGAACGCACCCTACGTGGCATATCAGCCGCAGCCCTTGGCCTACCACCCCCAGCCACACTCGGTGTACAGCCACCCGTCCGGGCCACCGTCGTTCATTGAGCAGTCATACCAACCATCCAGACAGCAGTCATTCATTCAACCTTCCAGACAGCAGTCATTCGTACAGCCGTCCCGACATCTATCCACCCGCAGCGCCGTGGCTTATCTCTGAAATCCAGCTGGATGTTTCACAGGCTTGTGTATTTGCGTTTGTGTGTGTGTGTGTTAGAGAGAGATGGTAAGGACGGACTTCTAACCAAAAGGTTTAAAAAATATTTGGAAAAAATGTGAATGTAAATTAGTTCTAAAAAAGTAGTAATTTCTACTTTTGCTTTTTAAATATCTAAATAGAAGCCGATGACAGATGCAAAGGACTGACTTCTAATCAAAGCTTTTTTTTTAAACGAGGGAAAAAGACTATTTGGAAACTATTTGGATTTAAATGTGACCCTTTTCATTCTTGGGAATGTTTTTGACAGAATTTTAATACCATTTGCACTTTTAAATGTCCAAGTAGGAGCAGATGAGAGATGGAAAGGACAGACTTCTAACCAGAGGTTTTACAAAAAGAACATTTGAACAGATGTAACAAATTTAGGCCTATATTTCATATTTTTTAACATTTAAATATATATGTTTTAATTTTTCATATATATTTTTTTTATTTAAATATTGTTTCTACTTTTTTTTTTTTTATCTAAGTAGGATAGGAGCAGGTGAGAGATTGATGAGTTTTTAAAAAATAAAAAACATTTGAAAATTTTGCAGCATTTCAACGGTTTTAAATGTAGCAGTTAGTCATACATTTCATTTCATTTTTTTTCCTCCCCCAGTTCATTCTTTGGAATGCTTTTAACAACATTTAAATGTTGTTTCTACTTTGGCTTTTTAAATATCTAAGTAGGAGCGGATATGAGATGGAAAGGACAGACTTCTAACCAAAGGTTTTTCAAAAAAGAAAAAAGAATATTTGAAAAACACTGTAATATTTAAACAGTTTTAAATGCAACAAAGTTCCACTACATTCCATTTTTTCCCCGTTTCATTTTTTGGAAGGTTTTTGACTACATTTAAATGCCGTTTCTACTTTTTTAAGTAGATATATTTTTTAATATGCAAGTAAGAGAACCTTGAGAACTGACTGAGATGAAAAATTGTTTTAAAGATTTTTGTTGTTGTTGTTTCATATGATTAATTGTAAAGTACAGTTCATACCTCAGGACATTGTAAAGTATGCTACTTGAGGTATTTTGTATTACTTGAAAGCCGTCTAAAATAGAAACTAGGGAAAAAGTGTTTAATATTCAGATATTATGTTTTTATGTAAATATCAAAGCACAAAACAATGATTTAAATCAATAAACAAGTGAAATATCCTTAATGATAAGATATTTGCTATTCCTCCTCAAATCTTTCTGCATTTACAGGTAGTTTTAAAAGACTGTTCTGGTTTCTGCTGTCTATTTGCACAGTAATAGTTCTCAGAAGAAATCTCTTCATCTCTATGCTTCAGAGGACGTGTTTTCTCAAAAAGTCATGAGGTCTGAGTTACAGGCAGGTGCTGAATTTGGTGGTTTAGTTCAGCTCAGTGCGATCAAGATCTTTATGCCCTGTGGCTTCAGATAAACAGAAAGCGGCAGTGAAACGTAAGACGCCTATTGTCTCTGACACACCCAGAGAATGAGTCACACAAGAGCTGCTTGTTAGTATAGTAGTGCTACAACAGCACTAATAAACGGATCAGAACTATCTGCTATTCAGCTGGGAAAAGAGAGAAATACACACCCACACATGAAAACGGAACAAGCTGCTTTAAAGTTTTTAACCGCATACTTTTAGACAGACTAAGGTGTGAGACTTTCACTGGGATCTATGTTATAATGTTTTTTTTTTTAAATCAGAAATATGACATACTGAATGTATAAAAATATTAGTGGAAGACCAGCAATAAAAAAAAATTGTTTAAATAAATGTTTGTCTTACACAGCAAGTGCAAAATTGGTGAACTTTGCTGTGAAGCATTTTAAGGAATCATAGCCAAATGTTTTTTAGTATTGTTTATACTATTATAGTACTCATTCATATTTTGAACTAGCTTTATTTTTATATTTTCAGTTTAAATTTTTTTAGTAATTTTATGTGCTTTTGTCATTTTTAAATTTTTTAATATTTCTATTTAGCTTACATTTATTTTTATTTCAGCTTTAGTTTTTAGTAATGTTAGTACTTCAGCTTCAACTCATATAATTTCAGTTAGTACAGTTCAGTTATTTCTAATAGCCATTTAAGTTTTTCATCTTATATTTATATTTTATTTCAGCTTTATTTCAATGAACAAAAAAATTATTTTTAATGGTTTTAGTTAACAATAACAATACTGTCATAGGCTTAAATGTAAACTAAATGTAGGCAGCAACTTGTCTGATGAGATTCTATTAGTGTCATCCTTCATGAAGAATGCAATCCCAGAATGCATTGTGCTCATTGAAGAAAAATAATAAATGCATTTACATTTGATTTAATACCAAACAATTTTGGTAAAACATAGTTGAGTAATTAAAAATGTCCTTTTTTAAGCAAATACAGAGTATATGCACGCTGGGGGGGTTTTATGATTAGGTTCTTGCATTATTAGCTTAGCGATATGCTAAGTGTAGAACACCTGTGTGCTGTTTCATTGATATTTCTGCGAAGCAAAAAGTTGCTGAGTGTTCTAAATCACTCACTTATGTGGTTCAATTTCAGTGAGGATGCTTCTTTTTTTATAAGTTAGCTGCCTGAGTTGGTAGTAAACAGCAAGGCAGCTCACTAGGTTTTAGAACAGAGGTAACATGCACTGTAGTGGTCTCAGTTCAGTTTGCTAATGCAAAATATGTGGGTCATCACCAGGCAGAAGTGACCCAGACTATATTACTGAAGTCATTGGTACAGCGTGTGCTTTGGATAAAATGTATGCATGATAAATGACAATAATGACAGTAAAAACAGAAAAAGCTTTAGCAGCAACCAAACATAGTTAACAAAACTGTAGGTTGCTGCGGTGACCGTGATTTCACCAAGTACAACATGTTCCTGGATCAACATCCTTGTTGATCCTGGAACAACATTCCAATTAACCAATCAGAATTGAGAGATAACTTTTCAGGAAATAGCCTATCTGTTTTAGACTTACGATCAGGGTTAGGTGCTTCTACACCCTTGTTAATCAGCTATCATTTCACACTGATTTTAGGAATAAATTATGGGTACACTGTTAAAAATTTCCTGTAGAAATTACAGTAACTTACTGGCAGCAGTTCGCCAGTAACTTACTGTAAATTAAACTTACAGTAAAAATACTGTATTCATATTTACAGTACCATTTAACTTGCTGTAAATGTATTTACAGTATGTGTACTGTACTTTTACCGTTTTTACTGTTAAATATACTGTAATTTTATGGTCTTTTCTCCAGTAACATATTGAAATACAAGAAAAATATATATATAATTTAACTGAAAATAAGCAATGACAACTGTATAACTTTAAATTTTTCAATTGTTCAATTGTAATCCTTGCAATAACATTTTAATATTTTCACAGATTCAGTTAAGACTCAAACAAAACATTGTTACAAACTATTATATACATTACATACTATTCTAACTATTATAGTTAGAAAAAATTCTTAAAATTTATCCTAAGCACAACATATTATGATAATAGTGAATAGTGACGATAGTGAATCTTCAAAAAGAACTCAAACTTTTGTTACACACCTGTACATTTATACACTTATATATGGGTAGCGCCAAGAGATTACTCCGCTGTACCATTAAAAGCTCAGTTTGTTGGCCAAAAATTTCATACAAGTTCACATAAAACCTCACCTGCTACCGACGTGGTCAAAACGAAGACAGAGACCTGTTTATGTTGGCAATTTGATGGTGAAACTTTCTACAAAAAAGGAAAGAAAAGAAAGAAAGATCTTTTTCGCACAGAAATTCTCTTCACTCTCAAGTTTTCCGCTCTCTACCAACGAACACCGCGAGGAAACTGCGCGTCGTGCAATGTCAGCGTTTTTTTATTATTTTGCTTTTAATTAAACCAACAAATAACCCCTAAAATTACACTGACATAAAACATGTAACAAAAAAGCTGGAATATTGTACATACATTTGCAGCTGCGAGGTGTGTGCGTTTTCCTTTTCTTCTTCTTCTTCTTCTTTCTCCAAGCAGAAAAAAAGCCGTCATTGGTCAGGTTTCGCGCTCATTTTTTTTTTACTGTATTTGGATTTACAGTAAATGAAAAATACTGTATTTTAATGGCGCCAAGAGGATATTTCCCATAATGCAACTTTAAAATACAGTAATGTACTGTATAACTGTTTTACCGTAAAGTACAGTTCATATTACAGTTAAATACTGTGTAATTTACAGAAATCGCTAACAGTGTAGGGTTAGGTTTAGGGGTAGGGATTGGGTTTAGTCTATATTTTTGGACAGTAATGTTGATCCAGGATCAGCAAAAGATGTTGATCCAGGAACATGTCTTATCCACTCTATTTTTAACGTAAGAGTGGACATGGCCATATTTGTAACTTAAATGTACAAAAACAGCCCGTATGCTGCTTGATATTGTAAACTGGTATTTCTTATCGTTTTAACTTATTATAATCACAAACTGATTTGCAGCGCAAAAAGTTTTATCGTTTACCGCAATGTTATTGTTCTGTATAGTGTAACCCCTCTCTCCCGGGTCCTCACTGCCACACCTCGTTCTCGCTCTGAGTAGGTCTCCAGCATGAGAGGCGGACGCACTGACAAGGAGGCTAAAGACTGCAGCCACTAGGGTCAGTCGCTAGTGCGTCTCTTGAGATCAGGGGAGTGAGGTTTACCTGCACAGCACCTACCGCTGGCCTCCGTTACAATAGCAGCTTGCACATTCACAAAAAAATAGCTTACTTCATTGCCAAATAAGGTGGATAAAGGAAACTCGTTTCAGCTTCCAAAGCACTAGTTGACAGCCCTGACAGAACTAACTTACCTGGAGCCAGATTGGCGCGGCAGCTCCTTCAATAGCAGCTCTTGAGATCAGGGGAGTGAGGTTTACCTGCACAGGACCAACCGCTGGCCTCCGTTACACTCACCCCCCTAAATCTCACTCCCATCCGGGTCACGGCACCAATGTAACCCCTCTCTCCCGGGTCCTCACTGCCACACCTCATTCTCACTCTAAGTGGGTCTCAAACCCAGGTCTCCAGCATGGGAGGCGGATGCACTAACAAGGAGGCAGTCACTAGTGCGTCTCTTGAGATCAGGGGAGTGAGGTTTACCTGCACAGCACCTACCGCTGGCCTCTGTTACAATAGCAGCTATAGCAGCTCGCACATTCACAAAAAAATAGCTTACTTCATTGCAAAATAAGGTGGATAAAGGAAACTCGTTTCAGCTTCCAAAGCACTAGTTGACAGCCCTGACAGAACTAACTTACCTGGAGCCAGATTGGCACGGCAGCTCCTTCTAGTGTTAAAGTATGAGAATGCTGTGACTCTTTCTTAGTCAAGGTCATCTGTTCATTTGAGTGTGTTTGTTTATGTGAGAAACCTTGTTATATGACCACTGGACAGTAAACACTCCATCAGCATCTCCACTTACCCTCATCATCCTCAACCAATCAGAAGACAGCTATGCCACTTTCCCATAACAAAGACAGTAAGTTTGTCATTATTCTTAAGTTGTAGAAGAAGAACATAAAATCACACTCTCTACACTGCTATGTGGACTGCCCTATTTAATCTGGGAACAACATTTACTACATTTAACACCTGTGTTTTGCTAACAGACTCCAGACCTCTGGATTTGGACACTAAATTGCTGCCCAACAGGATTATCTTTGTTCAGAACAGAGTGAGTGGATTCATTCATCTGCTGAGGATAGTTTGCTGTCATCTGAGGAGATGTTCATTCAGGGCATCACCTAAATAGAGTACAACAGAAATGAATAGAAGAACTAAACATTTGAACAGAATTGAGCATTTACATAATTTTATGAAAATGAAAGTGAGCCTGTTAAAGGAAAAGGTACATTCTGTTTAATAGGTCAGGAGGTCAAGGTTTGCTGTTTTTATTGGTGTAGATAGTGCAGATATACCCTGTTGGTAGATGCAATAACTACACCATCATGAGGCTGAAAGCATCTGTATCCATTCAAAAGTAGCCATACCAATCACAATCAACAACTAATATTGTGGAATAGTATTAAAATTTAAAATAACCATTTTCTATATGAATTATTGTAAAATGTAATTTATTCCTGTGATGCAAAGCTGAATTTTCAGCATCATTACTCTAGTCTTCTGTGTCACTTGATCTGTCAGAAATAATTCTAATATGCTGATTTTCTGCTCAAGAAACATTTCTGAATATTATCAGTTAAAAACAGTTGTGCTGCTTCATATTTGTGTGAATCATGATACATTTTCAAAGTTCTTTGATGAACAGAAAAATAAAAAACAGAAATATTTTGCAACATTATTAGTATTTACTGTAACTTTTGATCAATTTAATGCATCCATGCTGAATAAAAATGTTAATTTAACGTTAATTCATGTTAAAATGTAAAAGTGTAAAACTGCCTTAATGCTGTTTGCATTTAAAAGCATTTGTCTGGTGCTATTAAAAACTTGACGGATTAAATGCGAAAAGCATCCTGTGCCAAAGGCGATAAATTTCGAAACCAATTATGTTTGTTTCTCTACTTTTAGGAAAGCTAATAATATAGTCAAAAGCGTGTGAGGTCAATGATGGTTCAGGGCAAGTGTGAACTCATCGCCCTGTGTCTGAGCATCATCGGTCTGATCGGCGCGGTGGCTGTCAAAGTGACAGCATTTATCTGGGAGAACATCATCGTGATGGAGACGCACTGGGAGGGTCTTTGGATGACGTGCTTCAGACAGGCCAACATCCACATGCAGTGTAAAGTCTACGACTCTCTGCTGCGCCCTGGCGCTGTCTGGAGTCGGGCTGCTTGTTACTCTCTTGTGGGCCTCCGTTGCACCTTGTGTCTCACGGATCAACCACGGGCCAAAAGCCTCACTGCGATGGCCACAGGGGTGATGCAGATTTTAGCATCTGTTTGCGTAATCATCCCGGTCTCTTGGACGGCCCACACCATCATTAGAGACTTCTACAACCCTCTATTGATTGACGCTCAGCGTAGGGAACTAGGAGAGGCACTGTTGCGTTGGTCCAAAATCAGGCTCATTTTATGCTCGCCCACCAGCTAATAAACCCATTTTTAAACCGCTTCCAGACCTTTAATTCTATAAGACACCAGCCTTTGGTCCAGAGCAGCAGTCTTTCCATTCAACAGTCAACATTTCCTTCGCCGTCCGCTTTCAGCTAAGCCATTACGCCTTCTAATGGTCAACATTCACCCTACAGCATGCAACCGGTGGCCACAGGGTCTTTCAACGCAGTGATTTTCAACCTTTTTCATTCCAAAGCCCCCCATTGTCAAAGACAATATTTTCAATTAATATATAATTAATATTCTCTGCTCTTTTTCTTTTTTTCAGACAAATAAATAAAATAAAATAATTATAATTATATTATATAATAAAATAAAATAATTATAGATAATTTATATATATATATTCCATGATTCCAGAAGTTTCAATAATTCAGTGTTCAATAACTGGGTTTACTTCTTCTTCTTTTTTTTCAATTAATTTACATGACTTTTTAGTCATTTGTGATTGTTTAATAGATTTTTTACTTACAAATAGAAATTTCTTAGCAATCTCTACCCAATAAAATATTTTAGAACTTGACATATTCATTTAAAAAATGTCTTTTTTTTTAAAAAAGGTTTTATTAAATTCCAGTATACTTTTGCAGATCTAGAAATCACATTTTTAAAATGTTCCCTCATATCCAGGTTTTCCAGGAATTCTTTCATATTCAAGACTGACTGTGAGAACCCTGGTTCTTAAATAAAAATGGCAGATTAAAACGAAAGCTTACTTTGTTTTAAAGCTGTTGTAGTTTGTTTTTAGACCGTTTTGTCTTATTTTAAGCTATCTGTGCGCTGCTTGGAAGTCCTGGCCCCTTGGTTGAAAACCACCGCTTTAAGAGACATTAAGTTTAATTTTGAGTATTACACAAACTTTTTAAAAGAGAGACTAAGAGCAAGAATGTACAGTACAGTATTCAATGCATGCAACATATAAATCACAAATTAATTTATTAAAGTAGAAATTTTGCTTTTCATAGGGCTCTTAAAAGTGTGAAATGGATTTATATTTTTGCTTGTCTGCTTTCACCGTCACATATGAGAATAGAAGCTATTGAAGGTTTTGTAACTATCATGGTTTCATTTTCCTGCAGCTCCAGATTCTCCACTGTTTGTCCCATGAGCTAAAATGACAGCATGCAGTTGAAATACGGGGAATCCTGCACCGGATGAGCAGCTGCCCTTGAATGTGAATAGAGAGCTCCAGGTAAAATTGTTAATGGATGCCGAGCTGAAGTTGTGAACTCAGTGCTGCAGTTGTTTGTTATGCCAACTGCATTCAGCCCCCATAAACAACCTTTGCTTCACATTGGGGCATGTGGACAGCAAACACGGAATCAGTATATGGCACATCAGACTATATTTGCTAGGATAAAAGGATATTTGCTTGCAGTTAAGAAGCAGTGTGTTATTCTGTAAATAAACAGCTGTGAGTTTGTCCTGTGAGCTGAGAACATGACAATATTTGAAGAGATGTCGAGAATCTCCCATTATTCTCTGTTTTTGGCAATCAGAGGACTAAAATTATACTGCATCTTTATAAAAAATTTTTTTTTATTTCAATATGTGCAATAAAATTGTAATAAAATAATTTATTACAAATGTTTTCCAAGTCTTTGCTGTTTCTATCAAATGTGGCTTTGAGAGAGAAAATGTATTAAATAGGCCTAGAGAAGACCTGGGTTAGTTGTCACAAGGGTTAGTTCAGTTTTAACTCCAAAGTTCAATGGTTAGACTGATTTTTGTGTGTTTCATTGTTGTTTCTTTGTTTAATTTTCTTGCAAAGCTGTTATTGACTTTCAGAAATAATGTGACAACTTGCCCCGGCCTCCCCTAGTCATTATGATGATTAACCAGTAGATGGCCTTACAAGTGTAGCATATGGGGATTTAATCCGTTTTTTTTTTTTTTTTGACATTTTAAAAATTGTAAGCTGCATTGCAAATATTTTTTAGAGATTTTTCCCTTTGTTACACTATAAAGAGCCTCACAGCGACAACAAAATGTATTGCAATTCATAGTCACGTATGTTAGACACCATAGTGTAAAACAGGTTGTCAAACTCGATTCTTGGAGGGCCGGAGCCCTGCAGAGTTTAGATTCAACCCTAATTAAACACACCTGATCCACCTAATCAAGTCCTTCAGGCTTATATGAAAACTACATGGTATCTGTGTTGCAGCAGGGTTGGAACAAAAGTCTGGGCTCCGGCCCTCCAGGAATTGAGTTTGACACCCCTGGTGTAAAATATCCGGTAGAATCACATGATCTGGCTTTGTTGGGGCTGAACTCTTCTCTCTCTGAATGATCTGTGATTCAGATCCTGTCTCTGTAATCCCCCTGATGCCATATAAACCCATTGTCACAATGACCTAAAGGATGGGTAATAATCACCTCCTAAAGCAGATCCAGAGTTTTGAAAGCTCTCATGGACAGTTAAAACAGGAGCATTTTGATTTGAGTACAGAAAATTATGCTATTGATCTGACTTGTTGATATTTGTGGGGAAACATTTATGATAGGCAACTTCTCGAAGTAGATGTACTGACACGTACAAGATTAATTTTGAGAATGATTTAGATTAAAAGTAGGTCAAACTGCTGTTGAATAAGGTGTCTTCCCATTTGGTGAAATTACAGACAACGAGTGACAGATAAACGGGTATTTAATCCGCTGGCAGATGTGCGTTTCCATCAGAGCTCCGGCACAAGATTTAATCATTTCCTCGGTGTACCAAAGAGCAAAGACGTTGTCGAGGTCGACTGCTGCCAGATTTGAAGTTAATCTTCACAACGGATCCATGTTTGCGGATCAGAGAGTCGCCGGTGCCCTCAATTGAGCCCGTGCGCACGGACTGGGAGTCGCTCTCCGCGCGCTCGGACCCTGATCGGCACCGCTATGTCCTGAACGCGCCGCGGGAGGGATGCTCATTCACGGTGACTTATTCTGGAAAGTGATGCCCAGTTAGCACCTTTGGATGTGAGGATGGGTGACTCCCACCAGCACGAGTGAGTGGAAAGATGCTGCGCGGATGGAAATTATTCCTGTATGGATACAAAAAGAAGAAGGAGATGGATGTCGAATGTTCCTCCTGCAGGTGCAGCATGCTGAAGGGGACAGGTGTGAGCTTCATCCTGCTGTGTCTGATGGCAGAGGTCAGTCTCAGCGCGCAGCAGGTCTTGAGGATCGGTGAGTAGGAACTTAGGCTATAAAAACCTAAAACTGCTTTATGGGTATTGACGTTTCTGTAGCTACTATGAAAGTGTGTTTTTGTGTTTATTTTGCCTTGTGACTCCAAAACGTATTTGGACCCTTAAAAACTTCTGAATGTCATTGCGTTAGATAGCAAACAAATGAAATTTGTTCAATTTTAATTCTGTGTTGCTAGTGCATGTGTTTAGCCTGGAATACTCACTTCTATGCATGAAATGTGTTATTGTGGTCTTTTTATCCGCATACAAATGTATTTTTACATACTTTAGTCACTAAAAAGTGTCCGAATTTCATTTGGATTCGATAAAAAACATTAAACAAAGTGGGCTTTATTTTAATGAAATAGCTCAAACAGAATATTTTACAAAAAGAAGTGCACTGTAAAATGATTTTTCATTGTTGCAAATAAAACAAAGATTATTGGAGTATATGTTTTGCAAGAAAATACTAATTCAGTCTTTCTACTTAAACGTTTCCACTAATTTCACATTTAATTAAATGTGTTATTGTTGTTTCTAGCAGTATACTATATATATATATAGCAGTTTGTGAGTGAAAATGTAAAAATGTAGATATTTTTTTCAGTATAGTTTTGATAAAATAATGGATATAATGACTCCCGTGTGAATTTTGAGGAGAACTGACCTGATACATCCACTAACAATCATCAAAACAGCAGCTGATTGAAAATAATTGAACAACACTGATGAAGATTCTGCTTAATTTTTTGCAATTTGATATTTTCATGCAATTTGATATTTTCTTATCAAATGCAATGGCATCCAGACATTTGGTACCATTTAAGTTTATTTTTCTTGACAAAACTTTAAAGCCTTAAGTGATTTTGGTGCCTTTTGGTTAACTTTTGGATTGCATATGGTTTTTCTTATTAGAACATGATTTTAACTATATTTTATTTCAAATTGCATGTGATTGACACTGGTGAGTGGTGAACTCTTGTTGGATAGTAAACTATTTACTTGGAATTGAATGCAGCAGAATTAGAATAAGTTGAGTCTTATTATCACATTGGCCCACAATTTGAACTTGGCCACCAATCCATAACAGAATATCATTCATAAGTTCTCAACCATTAGTTGAGTCATTTGTGTTTGTATGTCTTTAAAAATGGTTTTGCATGAGGTAACATTGATGTCCATTCCATCTAATCCTGATGTCTTTTGTGAGAGAGAGAGAGAGAGAGAGAGAGAGAGAGAGAGAAAGGATGGACAGTTATGCTGAAATGCGGAGGTTAAACTTCTGTTAACAGTTTCTTATGATTTGTTGCTGCGTTTATTGACTAGTGACCATGTGGTTTCTGATTTAATGTAGTCCAGTTATGAATGTAACGAGTTTGGTGATGCATAACTAATGTAAAGATTGTGTGATATTGTTCACAACGTAGTTTGGGTGTTAATTGTGAAGTCATGTTATTTAACCAGGTAAACAACTATTGAGATTTATGGAGTGATTAGTATCAGAGAGGGTTAATAATTTTCTTTGGGGTCTTTTCATAATGTTCTTTGTGTGTTTAATCCGCCTGTATAATTTCTCCTGGTTTGAGGTTGAATCTAATCTTTGTTTCTCTGCAAACTTTAATCTGCTCCATACGGCTGGTGTTTCAATTAGTCCTCTCAGCTTTTGCTGGGTTAGAAACCCAGTAGCTGGGTGATACTGGAAAATCGTCCCTGTTAAGCATGTTAAACGAGCTGGGCTCATCTGCTTTCTGCTCAGAGACCCTCAGAGTGAGGACTGACGCCCGGCATCCAGAAAAACCCTTCACAACACTGTGAGGATGCATGAGGTTTAGCAGTTTGATAGAGTATTAACAGTTTGATTATGAGATGCTATCTACGTTTTATGGTGGATTGTATGACTTAAAAGGTTTTACATTTTATTTAAACAGACTAGTTTTAGAAACTAGAAAAGAATCTCATGAAATATGTCGAGGTCGCATTTCACCTCAAAACCATAACACTCAAAATCAAATTCTCATTGTTTTCAATAATAATTCTCATTAGATTCTCTTTTTGTAATGCAGTAATTGCTGTTAAACAGCATTAATTTTGTATTGTAAATAATTCCTTATTTTGTTGATTTAAAATTGTTTTATATTTTAATTGTTTTATATTAAAATATTTTATTTTATTTATATACATTCAAAAATATATATTTTTAATTGTTTTATAATAATAATTTATAATTTATATATGCACATATTATACATACATAATATTATATACATTAATAAAAATATAATACATTTGTGTATATAGTATATATATATATATTATTATATGTACA